TTTTTTTTTTTTTTTTAAGTCAAGCACAATTTTTTTCAGCTTCTCATATTTCTACCTGAATGTGATTTATTCATACAAAATTATGCTCCATTTTTATAAAACCCAAGTTACTGCAAATGATGCTTGAGGTCTCACAGAAAATATTAATTCCTGATCTACTGCTATAAAGCATGCCTGCTCGCTGTGCAGTAGCTCTGTCGCTCTGAGACAGATGGAAGCAGTCCAAGGGTATGATTAACTTCTTAGTCCTGGCAATTTCCGAGTGCTCCTCTCGTCCTAGATTTCAAGATTGGCCTCCAGCTCCTCTGCAAATGCACGGTCACCCTGCTTGATAAATCACACGAATCCCTTTTTTGATCACAGTTATCTACTATTTACTACTTGTGAAGGGAAGTTAATTGTATCCAAGGCACTTCATATGTGGCACACATATCCTTCCTCCTTCCTAACAGCACTTTGCATATTTCCCACATTACCAGCAACGCTGAGCGTCCAAACCAAAGACACATCTTTGTAAATGGACCTCATGCCCGTTTACCCTTCTTCTTCCCTGCATCTCCCTACCTGCATTGAATACAATGACCCACAGAAGGAAAAACGCTTGAGAAGCTCATTACAAGGAGTGACTACGTAAGGAGGATAGTGTCCTTTTGAGATTTTCTTGTAATTGGCTTGTTTACTTTGCCAAGAATTTGCCACCTTTTCCTGCCCTGGTGGCCTGCTTTTTTCATTATCCAGGGGCATCAGCGGGCCTCTGGTAGGCCAGCTCACTCTCAGTGGCATAAAATAGATAAAAAAAAAAAAAAATTCTACAGTCAGGAATAGAAAAGAATAAAAAATATACCATCCCACTCTCACAGATAAAAAAAAAAAATTCTACAGTCAGGAATAGAAAAGAATAAAAAATATACCATCCCACTCTCACACGGCCCTTCGTGTCATTGCAGGGGGGGGTGGCACAACTTAGTCCTGCTGAAGCCCAGATTCCCACTTTGCCTTGCCAAGGGGGTCCAGTTTTGACCTGCAGTACACTTTGGCAATTTTGGCTGAATGATAAATTAAGCCCATTGCTCGGGCAAAACTAAACAAGGCAAAAGGTTTTCTTTGGGGGCGATCATAGAAAATTTTTAAAATTTAGGTAATGGAAATATCACACTTTTAATTTATCAAGATTGTGTACTGATTACAGAAGACTCCCCGAACTTTAAAGCATACAGTCTGCACTGTCCAGATACTGGATGTGTGCTAGAATGTCTACTTAGAAAAGAAACCAGGAAACTCTGGAGAAATGAAAAGACAGGCAAGATTTTCCTTCAAAAGACATGTGGACACTCTCTAACCGCCTACACATCCTCAGAGGGATGAGATTCTCATCACTCTCAGAACGGGAAAGGAAATGAGCCCCTTCCTCTTCCTTACACCTGGTCTCACCAGGCCAGGTCCCAGAGCTTCGGAGGCAGCCTTCCTCAGACAGAAACAGAGAACATCGGCTGGCTTCTTACGACGTAAATGCACATCCTCCCGCCACCCCCAAGTCTCCAGATCTTGTTGTTCCTTACACCTGGTCTCACCAGGCCAGGTCCCAGAGCTTCGGAGGCAGCCTTCCTCAGACAGAAACAGAGAACATTGGCTGGCTTCTTACGACGTAAATGCACATCCTCCCGCCACCCCCAAGTCTCCAGATCTTGTTTCGTCCTCAAGTAGGACGTCTTGAGACAAAGGGCTCTACCCTTGTATCAACATTCTTGTGTTCAGGCAGGACTAAAGACTAAAGACAAGTGAAAGTGAAATGGGCCCACAGATGCAGACTTGCAGGACGCTGAGGCTCTGAATGGACGAGGAGCCTGTGGCGCGCAGCTAGAGCCAAGGTGCACTTTTCCGCCCAATTCTAGAATCACAGAACTTAGGAAGCATCTTCTGAGGTCTGAAAAGTGCTTTTTTTTCCCAGCACAAAAAGTGAGTGTTGCCTAAGCATTAAGGAATTTTATGTAAATTGCTAATAACAGGCTGAAAACAAAAATAGTTTAGGAAACCAGAATAATTAGTGTAAACGAGTGTGGAATAGATTAACACCAGGCTCTAAGTGTTGAGAGACATTGGCGTTACAGCCCCACCTTGGAAAGTCATGACCTGTGGGTCTTTACCCAATTCCATTCCGGTCCTGAGGTTCCTCTGACAGAATATTAGGTGAGACATACAGTGGTTTGACCTCGGATCACACTGATCATTTTTCTAGAAAACATTAGTTTATACAAAAGAAAATCACATCTGTCACTTGATAAATTAGGATTCTTTCATTTTAAAAACTTGAAAATATACATCAATTAATTCAGTAGGTGTTTTCAAGTACTTATTTTGAGAAAGGGTTTTAAATGGTATCTCCAAATGATTACAAATGCTTATCAGTTACAGAAATTACATCAATGGCCCTGAATTAGCGGAAAACATAGAAGAGAAAAAGCACAGACAAGGTAGCTTTTCATGACTGTATTACTAGAATAGGAGACAAAGTCAATGCATCACTTTGCAATGAGCCAAGCTCCCCCAATTTTGAACAGAAAAACTGTTAGACTGACGGGGGGAAATGCCCTATTATAGTGGAAGATAGAGAAATTTATAAGAAGAGTAGTGAGAGAGGGAACCTCTGTTTTTGGATAAGAAATGGGCTTGACAAGGGGTTTTAGTGAAAATATCAGAAAAAATTCAAAGAGAATAAACAGCATTGCTCATTATTAAAATCTATGCGCATTTTATGTCCAGGACAAAGTCATGTATCTTTTGGGAAGAAGCCTTTGAATGTATCAGTCCGAGTTTCTGAGAAATTGTCTTTGCGTTTGCAACTATGTCATCAAAGGGAATCCATATTTTCCTGAAATAGGTTTTGATTCATTCTACCAAAGGTCATAATGACATTTTGTATTTATACAGAATTATACAATTATGCTGATATACATTCACTCATTTAAAGTGTGCGATTTGATGTTTTTAGTATACTTACAGGGCTGTACAACCATCATCACAATCTAATTTTACATTTTCATCAGTTCCAAAAGAAACCTTGTACTTGCTAGCAGTAAGAAGGTATGGTAAGCTGAGGGCTTTCCCTTACTTCTCAATGTGTTTTGTTGAAGGAATCATTTAACTGAGAAGAAAAGTCAAAGGAAAAAAGAAGTATGCATAGGAAAGGGATTATTGTGTCAGATTTTTAATATGTTTTGATCCAAAGTCTCTCCTCTTTCTACCAACAGACTCAGAAGCATTACAGTCATCAGCTTTTGTAAAAATCCCAGAAGCAATCTCAGAAGATCACGTGCCAGCCACTCTCAGAACACGCAGGCTTGTGTGGTTGTCATGGGGAAAGCTTTTCAATTGACATAAGAAATACTTAGGCTCAGCCTGCCACCATAGAGAAAATGCTTTTCACCCATGTGCACCAGATAATTTGCCCAAGTGACAGGTTTTACCTTGGAGAAGCACTGAACTGAGCTGGTTTACACAATCAGTTATTGCTCATTCCACACAAAAAAATGGAACTAGGGAGGAAGGTGGGGGGGCAGTGGAGGTCAGCTAGACAATGCGGAGGTGCTGGGCGGCCAGCCGAGGGGAACATCTTTCTGCTGTTTCCAACACTCTAAGGATCTCCCTTCTACAGAACAGACACTTCATCTTCACTCCTGACAGTTCTTCAGCATAAACACAAACTGCCCCCCCCGCTAACCTCAGTAAGTGGAAAAGAAAAAAACACCCAAATCAAACCAAAAAGGGGTCTGGTCTGTTCCAGTTGGTAACTTTAGTATCCCTATTCCATTATCTTTCTACAGCCTTTTAGGCAAAGCAAGATGTGAAATACAGCCTGAGTGTGTTTCTTAATTAGGTTTACATACCTCATTCAATAATACAAGTCAGGAGAAATAAGCCAAAGCAAGAAGTAAAAAGTCAGGCATGTGCATATAATATTTCAAGAGAGAAACTCATCAAGAGATAGATAGCTCCCAGTGAAATGATAGCTAAAAAATCTGAAGAAAACATCTCAAAATAAATGAAGTACTTATTGCTGAAAAATGAGCTTAGATCTCAACCAATTCCAAAGTTTAGAATTTACTGCACCATTCAGGCCTTTTCCTCTAAGTTTCTTGTCTCTTGTTTCATGGCGCAACAAGGGATTCTTCGTACTTGATGTGAAATACAACAAGGCGATAGAATTTACTGCACCATTCAGGCCTTTTCCTCTAAGTTTCTCGTCTCTTGTTTCATGGCGCAACAAGGGATTCTTCGTACTTGATGTGAAATACAACAAGGCGATTTCTGCAGTAATAAACTCCACACATGCATGACAAATCCAAGCATGCAAAATGTTTAACATCCCAGTTCACAGATACTTTAGGGACAAAATCCGATTATGAATTATATGCCACCATAAATAGGGCTCAATGTTTCATAAAGCAATTTATAGTTCATAAAAATGACAAAATGTACCTGTCAGATAGAGCGCGGAGAGCAGTTCTCTGGGCTGCCTGCTGGAAGAAAGGGCAGAGATGTTTATTTAATATTCTGACTTTTAAATTATGTGCTCAATCAACACTTTTTAAAAGAACCTGTGTTACACACATTTTTGTCAATGCAGCCAAATTTTAAGCTACTAGCAACACAGTAGAGGGCCCTGTCCTGTGATGAAATGAACACTGCTGAAGAGTTAACCGGAGCCCTGGCGATGCCACGAGGGGTGAGTTTGGGCAGCGGGAAGCGCTCCACCCACGTGCGGGTGAACAGGGCAAAGGCCAGAGCGATCTCCTTTTTACCTCTTGAAATCACTTTCCCTCTGCTTTATTCTCTGTTCCTGTGAGAAACAAAGGTCTGTTTTGGTTCCTCTGTAGCTTCTTTCCCAGGGAAAGTGTAAATTTTTTTTTTTTTGTCTTTTGTCTTTCTCCGTGTCCGGCAACGGATCGCAACCCTCAGTGTTGCCCCCGTACCGGACCGGGGACCGGCAACGGGATCGCAACCCTCGGTGTTGCTCCCGCGCCTCGCTCAGCCAGTGAGCGGGAACCAGTCTGTATATGGGATCCGAACCCTCGGGCAGGAGCGCCGCCGCGCTTCCCAAGCGGCACACTATCCAGTGCTCCACCGGGCCGGCCCGGGAAAGTGTAAATTTTGACCGGGTTTTCAGACTGATTGAAAAAGATTCTGGAGTTAGAAAATGGAATGCTGAGAGGAAATCTAATGAGATGGGATCACTGACATGTTGTAAGCATAGTAATACTACTGGGGCAATTTTTTAAAAAGAATTTTTTAGAGATTCATATTTATATATTTATGGATAAAATTATATGATGTTGGGATTTGCTTTAAAATAACACAGTGGGAGGGAGGGAGGGAGAAGTGGGTGGCAGATCCAGAGAACCAGATGGCCCCGGGCTGGTAACTGTTGGAGTAAGGTGATGAGCACGCTGGGGGCTTATTATATTATTCTGGCCATCTTTGTACAAGAAATGAACAACGTTTTCATTTTGTATTGAAAATGTATTGGTTTGGTTTTTGTTTTTCACTTACTGAAGTTGGGGTGCACGTGGGTATGTGTGTATTGAAATTTTCCATAATAACACTGGCTGAGTGCGGTGCAGGCGACACCAAGCCAAGGGTTGCGATCCCCTTACCGGTCACAAAAATAGACAAAAAAAAAAAAAAAGAAATTTTCCATAATAAAAAACTAAAAGAAAAAAGAAAATGAGTCCTCCATGTCTCCATCGGATTCTCCCAGTTTCGCCCTCTTTCCTTTCTCTGCCTGTTCTTCTGTTGTTTGGCCACTGCCTTTCATGCTGGGCACTCTGAGGCTGAGGAAGGCAGAGGGCACAGTACGTTCTCTGTCCCAGAAGTTAGAATTCGGAGGTGATCAAAGCACGGCCTTAGGACCTCAGGGTGCACCCACCAGGAAACAAGGAGTGTGCATATGGCTCACTTCCACCTTGCATGAGACACATGTCGAGTTGACTGTTTACCAAGGACACCAAAATACTTCTCACACTATTCCCTCATCACATTCAGGAACAGATAAAATAGAATCTTCGAAATAGAAAAAATGACACATCAGAACCATTATCCCTGTTACAGAAATAAAATATGCCCTTGGTGATAGTTTCATGTCCTTGTATTAGTCAGTCAGTACAACATTTATTAAATTCCTATTATGTGGCGATTGTTGTATATTGGGCTCCAGGAGGGATAAAAATAAAAGTAGAAGGAGAAGCTCAATCCCTAGGCAGGAAGTCAGAATAGAGGCCCAGGGATGCCTTGAGCACACTTATGAAATAACACGAAATTGAAAAGATGAACACAGGACAGTGTTGGGAAGGCACAGATTCGAGTGGTATTTAGTGGTCATCAGCAGCTCCTCGAACAGAACCTGGAACTGTTTTTAGGTGCTCAATAAATATCTGCTAAGTGAACGTTAAATGAATGAGTCAATCAGGGAATTATTGCCACTGAAACCTGAGCAGAATTTTGAAGACAAGGAGAGACACGGTCAGGAGAGGAGCTGTTGGTAGCACTGGTCTGGAAGGCAGAGGGAAGGCCTGTGTTCCAGCTCTACCAGTGGTTCTCAGCTGGGGGACCACTTACTCCCAACCCCGGGGAGCCTGGAGTTGAGTGGGGGTGCTTCTGCATGTCACATTCACGGGGTTGGGGGGCAGGGAATCACTACAGGCATTTAGCGCCTGGGGCCTGGGATGCTAAAGCCCCTCAAAGGGCAGGAAAATCCCTGCACAATGAGAAACTGTCCCGTTAAAATGACAAGGGTGTCTGTAGAGAAACACTGCAGCTGAGGAGGAATGGAAGGCAGATCTGAAAAAAGACACAGGGAATATGTGCTTCCAGGCCTGGTGAAAGGAGCTGAAAAGAAGTTAATAAGAACTTAGATAATTTCCAAAAGTGATACACAATTCTGGTTCAGGAAAAGCCATCAAATCTGTCGATCTGGGACCGAGAGTCTTGCATTCTGGGACAGGTTTCACCATTCACTTATCAGGGACCTTGAGTCTGGCCCTCAACCTACACATCTTTGCTTCCAAACTGCCCCTTTCTTCTCTGAGTGGGATGTTGAAGGAGACAGTCAATGCCCGGGTTGCTGTGGACACTTGCAGGGGCTACTATCCCTTCCTTGTTCCCTGGATTCCGGTGAATGAAGGCCCCAATGTCCTGGCATCCCAGTGTCACAGAATTACTGCAAGAGAGGAAGAGGCAGCAGCTACAGATCGTGATGAGGACCTGAGTGAGCAGAAGGCTGCAGGAGGAAGGAGGGGAGAAGGCTGAGAAGCCCACTTGGACACCTCGCAACACAGGCCTTCCCTCTCTTTCCCCTCACTCCTTGCCCTGCGCTCCCAGAGAGCCAGCCAGGAGCACGTTCATGCCAAGCACTCAGCAGGGGACCAGCAGCCATCACTGTTGGCAGGTTCTCTTCTCACTCAGCAAGATGGCTTTCACTTTCGGCAGCAATACTTGAAAAGAACTTAACTCTCTACTCTGACTATGGCTGAATATACAAGAAGTATTTTGAATTCCCCAAAAGAAAGGTGGAATGTATTATTAGTATAGCCTCTCAACATCATCTCAGCAGGAGGCACTGGAGACTGACTCTTCCCAGAATGATAAATTGTAAGGGATGTGATGAAAAGTTCAACAGAAACCTCTAACATGGTGTCTGAATTTCCCCAGCCATGGAAATAGACCAAGGCTGTCAATATTTAAAGGTCTATTGACTCCTTTCTCTCCTGCCTTCAAATACTTCCTGCTGACTTTATGATACGGAAACAATGCTTGTTGATGTGTAGCCTGTAAGAAAATGATCTAAAAAGCAAAAGCAAAATAAACTAACAAACAAAAGACAAGAAATTCTGCTGTTCGACTGCCACTGGAGTGCCTATGAACAGATGTACCCAGGCGGTGGTACCTGCCGAGAACAACTCCATGGGAATGGCGTGGGCCAAGTTCTTGAATACAATGGGCCAGAAGTTTGGGGCAAGGGCTGCTTTCCCTTTAGCAGAGGGATGTGATGCTGACACCAAAAAGTCCTTGTGGGCTTAGAGACCAGGCACCCCGCCAGTTACCGCCTTCCTGTGATCCCTTATTCTCTTAATCTGTGCACATGAAGTATGTTACCTCTCACTCAACACCGGCACACAGCACCCTCAACTGCCTGCACCACTAGCTTTTAATGCCTGATTTTGATTGCGCTATTTAATCTGCAGTTATTCTATATCATCAAAAACTTTACAGAGGACAACTCATCATCCATCAAGTAAGAAGATGAGAAAATGTTAAATAATTCCTTGAGGGGGAAAAAAAGGCTTAGGGCATTAGATTAAAACTGTACGTTATATACCAAAACAAAGACCACCATGTTCTTTTTACTGCCTCATCTCTTACAGAAAACCTTTGGCTTGTGCACACTATTTTATTTTACTGTTGGAAAATAATAAAATAAATAAACATTGGAATTAAATAGCAAGGAAAAAAATTACGTAGGTGACTCATGATTGAAGGCTGAAAAACTACTCATAGTAAACTAGATGAATCGCTCGATTTCATTTCTTCCCGAGTTGTGTGTTACAGCAATCATATTTTCCTCCTTCTAAATCTTTCATCATCTCCTCCTTGCAACTTTCCTTTTATTCAGTTCTCAGCAAAACAGGTTGAGAGGTTAAGAGAATGTTTCCTTGATATTTCTTGAGTTCGTTACGCATTCATGGATGACGCTAAAGCTCAGGTCTATGA